TTGGTCAACTTTAGATTCAGTTTGGTTATTTGAGGTGCTGATTCAGAAACCTGCATTGGATAGACCACAGCAGCTCTAGTAAAAAACATATGCCATCCAGTAGTCGCCATCTGCTCACCCACAGAAAACCATATTTAATAATCTAGAGCTGATATGGTTTATCCAATACAATTTTTTGAATCAGCACCATCAAATAACCCCAGGAACAGGCCTAAAAATGAAACACCAATTAAAAATTGGGGTTTGACTATGTGATTTTCCGTAGTAGTTACGGTCTGGCCATGGACCATATTTTAGTTCTTGCGGACCACTGGTGGTCCACAGACCACAGGTTGGGAACCACTGCATTTTGTTCAATTTTGCTGTCTACTAGCCTTAGCTAGCATTCTACAGAGTTGAAAAGGTACCTCAGGCAAACTGAGATTCTGAGGAAAATAAAGCTCCTATGGAATGGAAAAAATGGCTGTCTTGTCCATCTTCTAGGGTAACTGTTCCTTATTAAATTTAATGATGGAGAATGCAAAAGGATTGATATATAGGTTTCCTTCATCACTAAAATAAATGGAAAAACCCACTTCCACAGGAAGGTACACTTGCTAGAGACTGCATGGGGTTTGGATTTGGAAGGCAATGCCTTTATGAACATGATCTTAATTTGGCTCTTTAAATCCATTTCACAGCATGACTCAATCCCATAGATAATCTCACACTTATTTGTTTTTACTGCTGTAACATGCAGCATATGAGGAGGGAAAGCAAAGATAAATTTGGTCACAGCCCCAGGAGCTTGTAGAGGTACGTCTCTCTAAGCCACATGGCTTGTTTAACTCAGCAAATTACTGTAATACTGCGAAATCTTTGAATTTGCCTTCCATGTAGTATGTCTCTCACCACCAAAGATGTAACACCAATTGAACAGTCATAGGCTCAGAGGTAAACTATTACAGATGTAGATACAAGTGTCATCTTCAATTGAGGATATTCTCCATTGACGTCCAGTCCTGCTGCTTTGTCTTATCATACAGATTAGCTATGAGCCTTTGCTTTTTAAATAGACAGCCCAAATGATATTTAATTTGTATATAAACTGCAGAGATTTCAATTTTTGAATAAAGCAATTTCTCCCAAAAGCCATACTTGATAAAATATGCATTTTAATACAGCCTATGGTGTAACAACATAGTCAACACATATATCATATGTAAACAACAAAATATAATGCATATTAACAACAGAGAAATAGGGGTTAGGGATAGAGAACCTTTCCAAAACATGTGAACAAGATGACAGAACATGTAAAACCTCCTTTTAAAAATTCAAAACATGAAAAAGCCAGATATTTTGGACTTTTGACTAGCAGAGATGGCTTTGATTTTCAGTTTAATGATGTTTGAAAACAAAAACAAAAAAAGAAATGAGTACATGCAAAAAAAAGAAGGAAAAGCATGAGCAAATATCTATAGCTTTAAAACATGCTATTGAAAAATACTAGCCATCTCCTTAAATTGAGGTTCTCACGCTGAGAAGGCATTTACCAAGTTAATTATCCTAAGATAATTAAGTTACCATGATCACAATAATACAGTTTTTCTACAACAATTTTCAATCAAGTCTTAAATAAAGTGTAAGTAGTTATATGTGTCACCGTCATCTATTGCAGAGGTGTCAAATTGTGGCCCTCCAGATGTTTGGGCCCCCAACTCCCAGAAGCCCTAACCAGCTTGTCCAATGGCCAAGAATTCTGGAAGCTGAAGTCCAAAACACCTGGAGGGCCACAGGTTTGGTACCACTGATCTATTGGGCCCCGAAGTTTTCAATTGAGGGTCCCATTTCAAGTTATTGTTCTACATCAGTGAAGCCTTATCATCATCCTCACTTATACTTTCTTGAGTCCAGATCTAAATAGTATGTGACTTGCCAAATGTTTTCCAGTTGTCCTCCATAAAGCCCAGTTTTGCTACCTAGTTGAGACTACAACAGAAAGGGCTGTAAAAAATCTGTGTTCGGTTTGATGGAGCATGGGTGTGTATTATATAGAGTCCAGAAAGCTGCTATTTTGAGGTGGATGTTAACATCCCCATTTAGATGAAAACCAAGCTGAACACAGACCATCGGATGTCCAAATAAACCTAGACTTCAAGGTAGACCCCCCATGCCTCTAACCAATGTGCCCTCATCTATATCTGCCAAAATTGTCCAGAATCTGCTGGAATATGTCTAAACTTCCACAGAAATACACCCTCTATTATTCCTAGAATCACAGAATCATAGAATTGGAAAAGACCTCATGGGCATCCAGTCCAACCCCCTGCCAAGAAGCAGGAAAATTGCATTCAGAGCACCCCTGACAGATGACCATCCAGCCTCTGTTTAAAAGCTTCTAAAGAAGGAGCTTCCACCACACTCTGTGGCAGAGAGTTCCACTCCTGAACGGCTCTCACAGTCAGGAAGTTCTTCCTAATGTTCACATGGACTCTCCTTTCTTGTAGTTTGAAGCAACTATTCCACATCCTAGTCTCCTGCACAATCCTCCTATAAGTTGCCCCACCACCTTACTTAATTGAAAATGACTCATTTTCAATTATTTCATCCTTTCCATCCTAATAATTTAGAGAGTTGGGTGAGGGCAGAAAAAGCAGATGAATCCTAAAACTGAAAGTCTTGAAATCAAAACTTAATTAGAACCTCTACCAATTTGTCCTAATTCAACCCTAATCTATAAATAGCAACCTCTATAGAAAGATCTTGTGTCACTTCTCTTTCTGTTTCTATCTCTGTGGAAAAGCCATTGACTAAGTATGGTTCCTTATGACACCTCCTGGCAACTTACACCATTGGAATAATACTATGATAAAAACAATAAAAAGAATATATATTTCCAATGAATGTCATAATGAGGATCTTTCTCAAAGAAGGATTGTTTATCAGTCGCTGTTTCACTTGGATGGCTATAACCTGGAAGCTGCTCTCAACTCAATCTGCTAGATCATTAAGGGATGAGCTGGACACAGCTTCTTTGTCCTATTTTCCTCTCCTCTGCGACTCATTAGTCATTTTCTTATCTAGAGTTTAATACTGCTGGGCAGCTCCTCAGTTGCAGAAATTAAGTACTAATAGCATCCACTCTGTTCTTTCTTGCAATCACCCCTCTACTCCATTTGTGAGCCTTTTCACACTAGATTATTATATTGGCATGATTTCTTTTTAACCGGCATGGCCCCATCCAATGGAATCCCGGATCTGTATAATTTGGTTGAGTCACTAGAGCTCTCTGGCTGAGAATTGTAAATATTTTCCTTAAACTATAAATCCCAGGATTTTACAGGATGTTGCCAGGATCATTACAATGAAATCTCAACAATACAATTGTGTAGCGTGTAGAGATGTCCCATTGCAACAAGGAAAGGAACGAGATGAATTACAGGAGAAACCAAAGCCACCTCCTCCCAGTTTGGCACAAAAGTGTGTGACAAGGTAGAAATCTTTACATCACAATCTGGCAAATCCTCTTGCACCTCCAACCCTGCCCCTAACAAACCCACAGGCAACACAGTTATGTTCTGATCTGCTTACAATATGTGCTTCACTTACAGCTCCATTAAAGGTAATTTCATGACTAACATTACAAAAGTCACAAAGCACTAGATGACTATTGTCTTCTATCTGTTTTCACAATCTTCATACTTAATCCTGAACATAAACTGTATATACTTGAGTATAAGCCTAGTTTTTCAGCCCTTTTTTAGGCTGAAAAGGTTCCCCTCGGCTTATACTCAAGTCAAGGTTATTTATTGTTTTACTCTATTACTATTATTATTATTATTATTATTATTATTATTACATTTATTATTTTACTTTAGTGTTGCTATTACAATTATTATTTTACTCTATTTATTATTGTTACTAGCCATCCCCTGCTACGCGTTGCTGTGGCCCAGTCTGTGTTTATGTGTTGTGTGTATGTAAATATGTGTTTATATGTGGCTTTGCACATGTGTTGTAATGTATTTTTTGGCTTTTTAAGTCTCTTCCACTGTGTTTTTCAGTGTTTTTATGAGTGATAGTCACTGCTTGGCCTGATAGCTGCATTGTGTCCAAATTTGATGTCAACTCATCCAGTGGTTTTTGAGTTATGTTAATCACACAAACAAACATTACATTTTTATTCATATAGTTTGTTACATTTATTATTTTACTCTATTTATTACTATAATTATTACATTTCCATTATTTTACTCTATTATTGTTGTTGTTATTATTGCATTTATTATTTGACTCTATTAAGCACATTTACATTGAAAAGGTTTAATCAGAATTATGGTTTAATCAGAGTTGGGCAGTCTTATCTTAAATTGCAGTTTTATGTAAATATTAAAAAAATTAACCTACTGATGCTTCAATTAATCTAATTTTATTGGTATCTATTTTTATTTTGAAATTTACCAGCATTTCCCACCCTCAGCTTATACTCGAGTCAATGTATTTTTCCTTTTTTTGTGGTAAATTTAGGTGCCTCTGCTTATATTTGGGTTGGCTTATCTTGAGTATATACGATACATAATCGTCCTTGTCTCCACTTCTGCTTTCCATCTTAAGACACACTAATAGCTAATTAGTACATACAAATGGCCAATCATTCTCCGCATATTGAAGAAAAATGGCAACAGTCATCCGCACAACAAGGAGGGTTTGGAGTAACTCCAAAAATTGGTCAGTTATATTTTTAAATAATAAATGGATATTTTAATGAGAATTCTCAAAATGCAAGTAGTTTGAATCACCTGAGGAGAGGCTTAGAACTGGAGGAAGGGTAAAAGCGGACATTCTGGCTGACTACAACAAGAAGCTCCATGCTACAACAATTTCTGCAGGTCCCACTTGTAGGCTACTGCCTAAATTATTTCAACATCCCAGCAATAATGGGCAATGAACTGGCAGGTACAGATATGATCCAAAAACCATCCTAACCCAATAGGAGGGGGGGGGGGAGAATTTCTCACCATCAGAGATCTCCACTTCATAGGGAGAAGGTCTTCTTTTCACTCGATTGTTGTACATTAGGTAGTTGTCTGGCTCTCCAAAAAAAACACTGTCAAAGAAAAAGCATAAAAACAACAAAATGAGTGAGGAAACCCAGGTGATCTAACTCAACAGACCAACACAAAAGTCTATGGGATGTTCTTCATTTAGTCCCTCCGAGAAACAACGCAAATATGGAAAAGGCATGCCTGAGTGGACTGCATGAGGCAGGCATTTGCAATATGTGCACACACAATGTAAATGCTCACACAGAGAGGCACAAAGAACCCGAACTGCAATTCTAAACTAAATTATGAAGGTGCAATTTCATTGAAATCCATTCATCTTGTAACCCAAAGATTTTATGATTTAGATATCTTTAGTGCTGTTAAGGAATTCCTAAAGGAAGAATGAAGGCATAAATTGCAGCATTTTTAATAAAAAAAAATACCACAGGGTTGTTTACCTGGCTAAAAGCATTTATTCCAAGACATTGGTGTCAAAGCATTGGCTAACCGTGCCAAAGTTGGCAAGGCCGTGGCTTTGCAAAGCTTTCAGGCACAACGTCAATGTTAATAGCCATAAAAACTACATGACATTCCTGTTGGTACCAAAAAATGGCATGGCATTTCTGCTACCATCCAAAATAAATGAAAACTTTTTTTAAAAAAAAAGAAGACCCTAAACAATAACTTAACCAATGATGACAACTTTGGGTTGCTGTGAGTTTTCCGGGCTCTTTGCTCATGTTCCAGAAGCATTATCTCCTGATGTTTCACCCACATCTATGGCAGGCATTCTCAGAGGTTGTGTGGTCTGTTGGAAACTAGGCAAATGGGGTTTATACATCTGTGGAATATGAACAGATTTATAAACCCCACATAAGAAACAGAGTGAACACTCACTGTAGTTTCTGGAAATATTTATTTTCTCCCTAATTCTGATCTACTCCACCAGTAATGTATGTATGTATATATGTATGTATGTAAATGTGTATGTGTGTATCTCTGTGTGCGAAGGGAGGGAGGGAAGGAGGGAGGGAGGGAAGGAGGGAGGGAGGGAGGGAGAGAACAAGCAATATCTGTGTTACTACAAGCAATTTGTTATTACTACACCAGGACAAATCATTCATATTATCTGAAGGTACAAAAATGCTTTACCATTTTTCTAAGATACACATTTCCAAAATGAGCAACAAAGGAGTCCCCTTGCGGAGAGAGGGTGGTCTATAAATAAAGTTACTATTTATTTGTTTGTTTGTTTATTATTTGCCTTATTTATACCCTGCCTTTCTCTACCCCAAGGGGGACTCAAGGCAGCTTACATATGGCAATTATTCTACGTCTTAACATATACAAACAGTAAATTTGAAATCAATTGAATTAAAATTAATGCATATATTGCTATTGTAATTGTTATTATTGTTGTTATTATTATTATTATTATTATTATTATTATTATTATTATTATTATTATGTTTTTAAAGATCTGCCTGGGAAGGTGGCTTGGTTTTTTTTCTTTCTTTTTATGCTATAAAGGATGACAACATAGATAGCTGCCTGCTTTTAGCTTTTGTCACTTCACCTGGCTTTGCCCTATTTTCTGCAAAAAAAGAACTATTCCCTTTTGGCAGTTCGCTACCAAGAGGAGAAGGGTTTTTTTTTTTTTCTGGGAAGGCCTGCTCTTCCTTTCATGCAACAGTGTTCCTGGGGCTCATTCCAACGGTGCTTGTATATCAGCCATCATAAGGAGAACAACCACAACCACAACAATAAAAGTTGTAACTGAGACCATGCAATGACAAGACAAGAAGGCACTGGGTTTAGACTTGTAGTACTGAAAAAAGGATACAAAAAGAAAGGGCCAAAGGAATCAGAATGGAAAAGAGAGAGAGAACAGAAGCAGGAGAATTAAGCTACAAAGGAAAGGGAAAGGACTAAGGATGGAAGAACTAAACAACATTGGAAAGGAAAGGGAAGGGAAGGGAAGGGAAGGGAAGGGAAGGGAAGGGAAGGGAAGGGAAGGGAAAGGGAAAGGGAAAGGGATCATAAAGGAAAGGAAAGGAGAAGGAAAAGGGGAGGGGGAGGGGAACAGAAAGGAAAGGAAAGGAAAGGAAAGGAAAGGTAGAGGACAAAATTGGAAAAAAGGCAAGGAGAGGAAGAAATCGTTCGGACAAAAGACAAGACAACTAAGCAAAATTGAGAAGGAAAAGACAAGAGAGAAAAGGAAATGCCTAAGACAGGAGAGGCCGGCTAAGCAAACTGGGAAGGGAAAGGAATGGGGATAAAAGATGAGACAACTAAGCAAAATTGTCAAGAAAAATACGAGAGCAATGGAAAGGAAAATAAAAAGAAAGGAAGAGGAAGAAAGGTCAAGAAGAAGGAAGAAACGGGTAAGACAGAAGGCAAGACAACTAAGCCAAACTGGAAAGGCAAAGAGAGGAAAAGACAAGAAGAGAAATGAAGAAGATGGGAGGTGGAAGAACTAAAGAAAATTGGAAAGAAAAATAGAGGAAAGAAATGGATATGACATAAGACGGGACCACTAAACAAAAATGGGAAAGAAATTGAGAGCAGGGAAAGGAAAGGAAATGGAAATGGAAAAGGAAAAGGAAAAGGAAAAGGAAAGGAAGAATACAGGTAGAAATGTGCTAAATTGAGGAGGGGGAAAGGAAAGGAAGACAAAAGGTAGGAAAACTAAGCCAAGCTGGAAAGAAAAATACAGAAAAGGAAAAAGACAGAAAGTGGGACGACTATGAAATTGGAAAGGGAAGGATACAAAAGAAAGGAAGGGAAAGGAAAGGAAAGGAAGAATACAGGTGGGACAACTGCGCTAAATTGAAAAGGGAAAAAAAGGAAAGGAAGACAAAAGGTAGGGCAACTAAGCAAAACTGGAAAGAAAAATAAAGGAAAGGAAGAAGCCTTTCCTACTGCGAAATGGGAAAAAGAAGGGAGGAAAGGAAAGGAAAGAGAAAAGGGGGCAGAAGACATGAGAGAGACAAAACGAAATTGGAGAAAAGAAAAGGGGTAGGACTCGGCGGAAAAGGTGTCCTGGTCTCATAAGGAAAGCCCAGCGGCGCAGCAGGAGAGCGAGCGAGCGAGCGTACGGCCAAGCGCAGGGGCAAAGGCTGGGCCGCTCCTCCTCCTCCTCCTCCCTCCACAAAGAGGGGCCGCCGTGGGATCGGGCTGCCCGGCTGGGAGGGCTTTGGGGACGGACCTGCTGGCGTTGGCGTTGTCGTTGGCGGCGTTGGCGGAGGGGGCGGCGGGGCCGAGGGGGGCTCCGAGCCCGTAAAGCATGGTCCGCGGGGGCGGCTGGAGCGGGAGGGCGGGCGCGGGGCTGAGCTGCACCATGCGGGCGTCGCTGCTGCTGCTGCTGCCGAGGTTCCCTCCTCCTCCTCCTCCTGCTGCTGCTGCTCCTGCTGCTGCGTCGGGGGGCGTCCCGTTCCCGTTGCCGAGGGCGAGGGCCAAGGCGGGCGCGGTGTGGGGGCGGTCCGGGTCTGCTGCGGTCCGGGCGAGAATGGCGCCTCCGGCCGGGCCCCGGGCAGCTTTTATGGCTCGCCCTCCGCGCACCAGCTCGATCACGGGCACCGGGGCGGCGGGGGGGCCGGCAGCAGGGGAGGGGGGCGGCCGGCCCGTCTCCTTGGCAACCCCATTCAGCGGCGCCGGCTCCCCCGAGGGGGGGAGGAGGAGGAGGAGGGAGGACATCCCCCCGCCCCCGCCCTTGACGCCCCCCACGCCGCCCCCGCCGCCGCTGCTGCTGCTGCCGGAGCCCAAGCCCACGTCCGGCTCGCCCAGGCCCTCGGCTCCAGCGCCGGCTCCGTGGGGCGCTGCATCCCGCGGCGGGTCACTGGGGGGCCTCTCCATCAGCATCCTGGGGAGACAGACAGAGGCGCAGAGAGGAGCGGGAGGCCGGCGGAGGAGGAAGAAGGCGCAGGGAGACGGAGGGAGGAAGAAGGGAGGATGAAAAAGAGGCGGAGGGAGAGGGAGAGCAGGCAGGAGGAGGAAACCTCACGGAAGGAAGGGGGGCCGGGAGGGAGGGAGGGGGGAGAAGGAAGCAGCCGCAAGAGGAGGAGAGGGAAAGTTAAAGCCAAAGGGGAGACGCGCAGAAGAAGCAGGGGGGGAGGAGGAGGGACACAAGACCAGTCAGTGCTTCAAACTGGGAGGGACGGGAATCTCCCACAAAGGACGCCTCCGTGCTCCGTGGTTGGTGCCATCGTCATCCGGGTCTCAAACTGGTTCAGGATTTCCGCACACCGAAACCACGTTCTTCCATGCCGGTTTGAAACTGCAGTCAGTGGTCAGTGTAGAGGGGACGGGGACAAAGTTAAAACCAAAGGGATGCACTTCTTTGGGCCGGGGGCTTAAGGCGGGGAGGGGAGGAGAAGGCCCTCGAGGCGGAGAGCGCAGGAAGGGCAGCCGGACTGAGACCCGAGTGGGAGGAAGCCATCCCGGCCTGGCCCGGAAAGAAAGCCTTGTGCGGGAAAGAAGAGGCCTGGGGTTTGCGTGGGGGGACGAGCCCTTGGCTTCTTCCCCTCCGTCTCCCCCCTAGCACTCCTTTCACTCAGGGCCCTTCCACACAGCCCTAAAGCCCAGAATATCAAGGCTAAAAATCCCACAATAACTGCTTTGAACTGGGCTATCCGATAAAGTGGGTTTTCCTGCCTTGATATTCTGGGATATAGGGCAGTGTGGAAGGGCCCTCAGATAACCCACTTCAAAGCAGATATTGTGGGATTTCCTGCCTTGATATTTTGGGATATAGGTCTCTGCAGAAGGGCCCTCAGACATCCTCCACTACAGCCTGGAAGAATGGACAGCCATCACACCGCCTGGTTGAGTTTTCTTTGGAGTACATCCCAAGCCTTCTAAAGTGGATGAACCTATTGATTTAATTAGGGCATTCATTCATTTCTAATATTTCTGTATCTTTCCTGGGCCAGAAGCGGGTGGGCGATGCTGATGTGGCTCTGGGTGTTTTGTGGCGGCAGAAGAAAATAAAGCATCCCCAGAGTCCATCTTTGGGGGGAAAGAGGAGGACGAGGAGGAAGATTGACAGCTGCCACTCCTACAGTCTTTCCAACCAACGTCGGTGTTAGAGATCACCAGGGACGCTCGGAATTATCCTTAAGATGTGGGAGAGGCCTTGACATTACTTACTTAGGCGATCCCTCGTTGTCCGAGTAGGATTGTCTTCTAAGATCAGTGTACTGGTGGTGGGTCCGTAGGTGACTGTGGAGCCCTATTCTTGATCTGCATGTTCTCCCACAGTGAGGGCATTGGCTTCCAGGTGGAAGGCCGTCTTGGCAAGTTTCTCTCTTTCGTCTTCCATTCGTGCCTCTTCAAATTCTACAGCACTGCTGGTCACAGCTGACCTCCAGCTGGAGCGCTTAAGGGCCAGAGCTTCCCAGTTCTTGACATTAGCAGCCTCTTGTGTATGTATATATTACAAAATTTAAAAAATCCAAATACATTGTATAAAACTATCATCGTGTTCTCATCTGACCGAAGTTGGTAACAATGGGGATGCTATGAATATAATACCAAATGAATGACCACACAATCATCAGAGGGGCAGATGCATAGGAGTCTCGGTAGTCGAACTTGGCCTGCTTTTACTCCGAGGGAGGGATTGGAGCCCCTTCTTCCAGGCTCCATAGCAGGCCTGGGCCAACTCGGGCCCTCCCCCCAGGTGTTTTGGATTCCAACTCCCACCATTAACAGCCTCAGGCCCTTTCCTTTCCCCCCTCAGCCACCAAGGGGCCTGAGGCTGTTAGGAATAGTGGGAGTTGGAGTCCAAAACACCTGGAGGGAGGGCCCAAGTTGGCCCAGGCTTGAGCTAGATAATGCTTTCTCGAGCGAGAAATAATATAGCAGTCAGAACAACCAAAAGCGTTGAAGCGCAAACACTCCAGCTCGCCATTCTTAAGCTATTCGTTTTCTAAATGTACACAACTCCTGCCGTCACACATAGAGTATCTCGAAATGTTAAGACATCATTTTCTAGGCTCGATCTGGAGTTTCGAGGTCTAGATGACAGGAGAATCAATCGCGCAGACGAATCGGAAATCAGTGGCTCCCTTTTGATCCAAGATTACCCCATCCACCCCCACCCTCTTTTCCCTTTTTTCTTCCAAGGAATTGTGTTCGAGGAAGAAGGGAATCGATGGGAATTCGCCAGTTTAGCTCAGGGTTTTGCTCCTGGGATGCGCCACCCCGTCGGGAGCAAATTGGTTTGCTCCCATCCCTTTGCGGGTCAATTAGAGATGGAGTCTCCCCTTCCAAATGTGTTTCGGATTGCAGCTTTCGGCGGCCCTGTGGAGAAACGTTCCCATTTTAAAACCCTGCCATATAAACCCTCCAGAAAGAGGCGCCTTTGGAAGCAATTTACACCGAGCCGGATTGGCGAAGAGGCCGAAAGAAACCCTCACTACAAATCGCTTCAGTGCAACGTAATTATTTCCGTGGGGTTTTTCTCCGCTGAGCTGCGGGTTGTTAATTTCACGCCTCGCTTCTAAATCCAGACAGCGCTTCGCTCCGCCGTGGAAAAAAAGGGAAGAGAGAGAGAAAATACAGAAAGGGAGAAAGATACTGGAGGATTGAACTCAGAAATCCCGGGACCATCGCCTTGGGGCCTTTCCGGAAGAAGCGAAATGACCCGGGGCGACTCCTTGAGAGTCAATCTGCATCTACACTGTAGAAAAACGCAGTTTGATATCACTTGAATGGTCCTTTTGCAAGGGCATTAGCCTTTTCACCTCTGCCAGAGAGCTCTGGAGTCCCCGGTGGCGCAGTGGGTTAAACCCTTGTGCGGGCAGGACTGAAGACTAACAGGTCGCAGGTTCGAATCTGGGGAGAGTGCAGATGAGCTCTCTCTGTCAGCTCCAGCTCCCCATGGGGGGACATGAGAGAACCCTCCAACAAGGATGGTAAAACATCAAAAACATCCAGGCGCCCTTGCAGACGGTCAATTCTCTCACACCAGAAGCGACTTTCAGTTTCTCAAGTCTCTCCAGACACACACACAAAATCCCCAAACTATAAATCCCAGGGTTCCAAAGCATTGAGCCAGGGCAGGTCAAGTGCATTCATTCTACAATGTAGATGAGATTTACTTATCAAAGCAGAAATCCACATTATCTGCTTTGAACTGGATTATATGAGTCTACGCTTCCATATAATTCAGTTCAAAGCAGATGATCTGGATTTTATATAGCAGTGTAGAAGGGGCCTAAACTCTGTTGAACTGAATGGGCCTGACTTTGGGCTTCCTACAACATTGCTGTCTTTTCTATTCATCTGCAAACTTGAGACTTCAAAAAGACAGAGGTCAGTGCCTAAGGTGCCCTATCTATCACACAATGTTGTTTTTTCTGCGCCTTGCAATCGTTTCTGACCGAAGGCAAACATATCACAGGGTTTTCTTGGCAAGATTAGTTCAGAAGACATTGGCTTGCCATTGCTTTTCCCTGAGAACCAGAGAGTGTGACTTGCCCAAAGTCACCCAATGGGTTTCATAACGTTACAGCAATGAAGCACGAATTTGAGAGAAGACAGATACCTTTGGAAGCTCCATAAAAAGATGCCCATCGAGAGTGAACACCTTGAGAGCAGGGAGAACCACACAAGTCACATGACACTGACAGAGCACTGCGATTCCATTTGAGCTGCCATGGTTCTGGAAATTGCAATTTAGGGAAAGGCTATTTGCAACTCTTAGCTACAGAATCCTCTACTACAGGGGCGTCAGACTCATCTTCATCAAGGGCCATATCAGCCTTATAATTCCCTCCAAAGTACCATTAAATCCATGTAGGCAGAATCCATGGATACAGAGGGCCAACTATCTATCTATCTATCTATCTATCTATCTATCTATCTATCTATCTATCTATCTATCTATATCAGTAGGTAACTTCCTCTTTAAAGGTATTTTATCGCCCTGGCTTCTTGGCCACGTGGTCATTCTCCGAGAAAGGGCCCTCAGAAACAGACAAGTTAAAAAAAAAAAAAACCTTTCTCTGTGGTTGGCTCAACTAATTACCCTTACTGAATCAATGGGATTTATTCATATGCTGGCTCACTTGAGCCAGTAGGTCTGCTCTAACCAGGAGTGGCCAAGTCTTCAAAGGTTAAAATGACTATCTCAGGGCCCCTCTACACAGCCCTATATCCCAAAATATCAAAGCAGAAAATCCCACAATGTGTGCTCTGAACTGGGTTATCTGAGTCCACACCCAGATAAAGTGGGATTTTTTGCCTTGATATTATAGGATATAGGGCTGTGTGGAAGTCCCTCAAGCTTCAAGGATTGTGCAAAGATTGCCATCTTATGCACACTTATCATTCATTTTCAATAAAAAATGTTAAAATGTGTCCATTTAAAAGGTTTTAAAGCATGCTTAGGCTCTTTGTTTTAAAGGGGAAATTTCTATCTCTTAGAGATAATATAAAAACAGTGGGTTGGTCTACCACAATCTAGATGTGGGTGTGATTTTGATCCCTGAAATACTTGATTCGAAACCCAGAACACACTTCAAAGTCAGGGGTTTCCCAGCTACAGCAAGCCCGGCCTAAACCTTACCATGTTGCAACAATCCCACTTGTTGGCTAAGCTTTTGGCCACATTTCAAAGTGCTGTTATCACCTATAAAAAAAAACCCCAATGTGGTTTAGGTGATGATAATCTGACAGATCCTATCTCTCCAAATGAGCCTGTCCTTGTTTTGAGACTTTCTAGGGGAGGTCATTCCCTGCCTCTCCTCCCCATATGGGTACATCTCAATGGGAAATGAACAGGGTCTTTTCAATTACAATTGATCATCTTGATTAGCCTTGCAGCTTCAAAGTTTGGCTGGTTGCTGCCTGGGGGA